TCCTTTCTCAACCCCCCTGAACTGGCAGCCAGACCTTTAACACACATACTTTTTAGGGGAGCAGTTTAGAGTGAACCCAGAACATGGGCACACAGTATATTGGTGGGGATTTCATTGTACTATTACATATGATGTGATAATGACCTCAGTACCCAGGATTTAATGCCTCATAAGCTGTTATGTTTGTCCTGTATAATGCTTTGTAGCCACTAACAGCTATATTTTCAGCATCATGTAACTTGTCGGTCATTCATTGATTGATACTGTTAAGTGGAACTATTTTCTGTTGTGTTTACTCTGTATATGCTAGAATTACAGGTTCTCACTAGCTGGGTGATTTTCCCCCCTTTTTCTAGGGCAGTAATTTTTCTATCCAATAACTTTTTCCTGAGCATTTGTATGTTACATGGGGCAAGTGGGTAGGTGTCCCTAATTTTGTTGGGGCTGTTCCTGCCATTCTAAATAGACAAACATAATATAATGGGGTGACAGGGATTCAAGTCAAATGTTTGCAGGACAAAGCATTGTATGCCTCTCTGAGAAGTTACCAGTGTGTTTCGTTTCTCCATTACTGTGTCTCACTTCGTTCTACTCCAGAATCACTTTAGTTGTTTGTGTAATTTGAAAATGTTAGAAGGCAAATGTATGCATGTTCTTTAGGCTCATTTCTTAAACATTCAGCTCAGTGAGCAACTATAACATAAATCTAGCACATTCATAGTTCTTGACCTTGTTTGGCCCTGGCCATAGGTTGCCACCCTGATTATATCTTTGAATTACAGGATCTCCAGTAGCCTATCCAACTCACTGTGGTTTGAATCTGAGATAGCCCCCAAAGACTCATGCATTTGGAGGCTTTGTTGCCATCCTAAGATCTCTGGCTTAATCAACAGATTAATCCCTGATGGATTTGTAATATGATGACACTTTTGAGAAGTTAGGGTGAGTTGAGGGGGAGGGCTGGATCACTGGGGCATGCCCTGGAATAATAAACCTTGTCTTTGGTCCCTTTCTGCCTCTACTTCCTGACTACCATGAGTTAAGCAATTCTACCCCATCATGTTTTGCCATACTTACCATAGACCCAGAAACAGTAAATGTGGACTCAGACCATGAGCCAAAGTAGACTCCTTTAAATTGTTCCCCTTTCATAACTGTCATGGGAGGACAGACTACTGATGACTGACTACTTTTTTCGAGGACTTTAGCAACCACAAATAATTGGAAACACTCTGCCTTGCTGATAATGCACTGGATTCTGAATACAAATAAGTAATAGTAGTTACATAATGATAATTAAAACAGCAACTCTGTGACAGTGATGGTATACAAGATGCACAGCATGCAAGTCCAAGACTTGCAGAAGCCTAGCATAAGACCTGTGTGTTAGCTGTTTTTCCATTGCTTTGTTGACACTGTGACCAAGGCAACTTACAGAAGGAAAAGTTCAATGGGACTCAAGGGTTTCAGAGTGTTAGTGTCCATGAGCATTATAGAAGAATGTGACAGCACACATGGTGGTGGAGTAGTAGCTGAGAGCTTAAGTCCTGATCCACAAGTGCAAGACAGAGGAAGCTACCTGGGAGTGGTGTGGACTTTTGAAACCTCAAAGCCTACCCCCAGCGACAAACCTCCTCCAACAAGGCCACATTTCCTAGTCCTTACCAGTCAAAAATGGTGAGCCTATGGGGGACATTCTCATTTAAACCTCCACAACCTGTGTGTTTGGAAAACAGAAGTATGTGTGAAGAAGTAGTTCATAACATACGACTCATTGGTAAGAGCAGTTTTTGCTTAGTTTTTACCAGCCAGTACTGAGAGTGCACCCCTCCTGTTTCCTACTGAGGCAGCAGAGGAAAACTGGAAATCCAGACTTAACTCAGCTGCTTCTTGCAGAGCTAGCCCTCAGACCTAAGGCCTCACCGTCGCTAAGCAAGGACTTCATACCAAGTAGAATCCCAACTTTTAAATATTAGGGTAGTGTTATTTAACTTTTTAGTATAGTATTCTCAGCTTTTTATTGTATACTAAACTACTCTGTCCCAGTACTTCCTTTATCTTTTTTTAAAAACTGTTTAAAGGGACCTTTTAAGACAATTATCTGTAGTAATTTTGTGGTACTTATATTTTGAAATTATAATCTTAATGGGTAAAGATTTCATTTTAATATCAGAAATTAACAGTTTTAAGGTTTTTTTATATTTTATGATTATAATTGTATCATTTCCTCTCCCTAAACCCTCCTATATACCCTTCCTTGTTCTCTTTCAAATTTATGACCTTTTTCATTAATTGTTGTTAAGTGTGTGTGTTCACACCCATGTGCACACATGCATGCATATATTCCTAAATGCAACCTGCTCAGTCTGTGTAATGTTCCTCCTATGTGTGTTTGGGGGCTAACCATTTGATACTAGATAACCAGTCAGTGTACTCTTCCTGAGGAAGACTGATTTTTCAGCTCTCAGCATTCCTTAGTTACCTGTTGTGAATGATACTTTTATTTCCTCAGATGGAGGAATAAGATGAGAACCATACCCAAATTTGGCAATACACAGCTTGGGCTGAGCCCAGAACATTTTCTTCTCTGTTCTAACTATCCCTAGGCATAGGCCTGGAAGCTTCTAGCCTCTGGAAGCTTCTAGCCTCCGTACAAGCCAATCTTCCAAGCTGACTGCTTCAATCCAGCTTCTCTTGGCTTTTGACTGAATTGCTCTGTTTAGCCTCATGTCAACTTTGGCAATCTGTTCTAACCTTCTGGCTCGTTCTGTCTCCACCTGTGTCTAGCTTGTTCTCTCTCTGCAACCTGACCTGGTAAAACTGCCTCCTCTTTATGTACTTCTCTCCCTTAAGTAGCTTTTCTTTTCTCTGTGCTTGTAAGAGTTAGGCATATTCTATTTCAAATCTTTCTCTGATTCATCACTTTGCCTCTCAATTAGACATCACTTTCAAATGTGGGTGCTTCCTTCTACAAACTAACTTTACCTTCATTGTTTGGGATTAAAGGTGTGTACTAAGGGTGTATCTTTATTCCAGCTAGAGAGATTAAAGATGTGTCCTAAGTCCTGAACCACACCACAACTAGAAACAGATTTTTTTCAGTAGATAATACAACCTCAGGGTTCACAGTGTGAACATATATCCTGCAGCATAGTTCCACTAACTAGGACCAAATATTCAAATATATGGAGAAGATTCTCATTTAAATCACCACACTGTACATACATGCTACCTTATAGGAATGCTAATATGTTACTGAACTTGTCTTCTTTGTTAGGGTTTCTATTGCTATGATAGAAAAAAAAAAGCCATGACCAAAGCAACTTGAGGAAAGGAAAGGAATATGTCCCAGCTGACCATAGTCCATCATGAAGGGAAGTAAGAGCAGGTATTGAAGCAGGGACTATGGCAGAGTGCTGATTCACTGGCGTACTCCTCATGGATGACTCAACCTGCTTTCTTACAGAACCCAGGACCAGCAGCCCTGGAGTGGCGTCACTCGGAGTGGGCTGGGCCTTCCCCTGTCAGTCACTAACTAAAGAATGTCCACCAGGCTTGCCCACCACATTTTCTCAGTTGAGATTCCCTCCTCTCAGATGACTCTCGCTTGTGCCATATTGACAGAAAGACTAGCCAGCACAACACTTTTATGCTAAACTTGAATTAACCAGAAATAAGAGACTGCATTTTTGTTTTGCAGGCTTCCTTGTTACCAGAATCTGCCTGATCTCTACCTTTTCTTGTTTGAACATTATTTGTACTGGTTTGTTTCCCCTAATTGTGATAGAATTACCTTTAAATTACCTATTCTAGTTCCTTACTTACATAAGTCTGACATGAAACCAAGTTCCCAGGAAGTGGTAAATAGGGTTTTGTTGAAAATAATCTAGTCTTTCTTTGAGTTTTGGTATGTAGCGTACTGATTTTCACCCTCAGAATAAGTGTATATACACTGTATTCTTTAAAGGCACATGTACAAAGTTTTGGAAAACATTGTCTTAGTTTGAGTTTTATTGCTGTGATGAGACACCATGACCAATAAAATTCTTCTAAAGGCAAACATTTAATTGGGGCTGGTTTACCATTTCAGAGGTTTAGTCCATTATCCTTGTAGCAGGAAGCATGTCAGCATCCAGGAAGTTGTGGGGCTGGAGGAGCTAAGAGCTCTATATCTTGTACCAGAGGCAAAGAGAAGACTGGCTCTTACGTGATTAGGAGGAGGGTCTAAACAAGGCCACACTTCAAAATAGTGCCACTCCCTGGGCCAAGAATATTCAAACTACCACACTTATCAATTAAAAAAAGCAACATAGAATTGTTAGCTCTTTCCTAATACTTTTACATTGCAGATGCAAGAGTGGATTTTTCTTCTTAATGTACAAGCAGAGGCAGCTATCCTCCCTCTGTGTCTTTACCAATAAGTCTCGTGTGTTATAGCTCGATAGAAAGAAGGGTATCCTGGTAGTTGGAAGCCAAGGAATACCACAAAGTCACACTGCACAATAAATCTCACTCAAGAGATGTATTGGAAGGGAAAAACGAGGAAACTCTGGGAGCAAGGCCTGGCCACTAGTGCTCCTCAGGCTGGAGGTCTGGCCACTTGGCTTCAGTGGCAGCTGGAGAGGTGGAGCCTGTCTGCCATAGTAGCCTAGGGTGGAGCCTGGCAGCTGGAGATCTCCAGGGGTGGGGCTCACAATGGGAATCTCTGCTATCTGACTGAGATTGGTGTGGATAACCAACATCTGTGTGTGACTGTGTGACTGTGGTACTCCTTGGCTCCCAACAGTCAGGACACCTTTCCCCTCAAAGCTGTAAAACACACTTTACCCAGAGGACTTGGAGCACAGGGCTCATGTTTAGCTCTGTGGCTAAAAGTAGTTGCCTCCATCTTGCCTGCCCATATTAATTTGCATTTTAACTATGCTTTGTATTTACATAGTTTCTTTGTTATCCTTTAGAGAAAAAAATCTAATTCTCTGAAACTTTTGGTTTGTGTATAGGTTGGTCAAAGAAAAAGTGATGTATGAAAAAGAAGCAAAGCAGCAAGAAGAAAAGATTGAAAAAATGAAGGCTGAAGATGGTGAAAACTATGCCATTAAAAAGCAGGTAAAGCTGATGCTTACTGAGATGGCGCTGTGCACTGTGGGAATGTGCATTTAAAAGTAAGGAAGTGGCTGCTGCGAGGCATGTCTGTAATCTTAGCGTTGAGAAAGCTGAGGCAGGAGGATAAGCCAGCCTGCCGCCTAGTGACGCCCTGTCACACAAACACAAACAGAAACCCCAGCAAAACAGAAATAAAGTGCAACAAAGGTAGGACACTGACACAGGGGAAGTGGCCACAGGTCACAGCAGTCACGTGTTAGACACAAGCGTCTGTGGTTGCTCTCGTCCAGGAAACTACAGCTCCTCCAGTTGTAAGTACTGACCATAAAAAGTAGATGGTCTAGTAAGTACACTTACATGCTTAAATTTAGAGATAGCTTCCCAAACTGATACGAAGACCATGAAAATAAAATACATGTTGTGTTTCTTCTCCTAATGGTTAGGAGATTGAAGGAGACCAGATGTTCATCTGTAGTGACTAGCTAATGAAAGTGTCCTGGACACACACTGGGCTAGAACTCATCGTAAGTTAAGATGGACTCATGAAATCTGCAGAAAGCGGATGGAACTGGCTGGTTGGGTAGTTTGTGTAAGTCTTGAGGAGAGGGCCCCTAACTCTTGAGTTGCTAGGGTTGTAGTTGCTCCTAGATGTCCTTATGCTTCGGTGCCTGCAGGCGCTGTCCGTGTAGCTTTTGGTGGTTTCTGCCCCCTCATTTGGTCTTGCTGGAAGTGTACGAACTTTTTCTTTAAATCTACCTTTTGTTGACTTTTCTGTTTTTTTCCTGTTTGTAATTTTATCAACTTGTACTTCATTTCCTTTGATTGTTTTGAGTTTATTCCTTGCATTTTTCTGTTTGTTTTTTGTTTTGATTGGGGGGGGGGGAGTGCTGTTCGCTTGGTTTTGTTTGTTTTAACAGGGATTCTCTCTGTAGCCCTGGCTGTCCTGGAATTCTCTAATTAGACCAGTCTGGCCTCCTGCCTCTGCCTGGAAGTGTTGCTATTTAAGTGCTGGTCTTTCTATTTTTGAGGTAAGAACGCTTACCCTTCCTGATGTCAACATTCAGTGCTGTGGACTTCCCTCTCCCGGTGAGTTTGGGTCTGGCTGCATTTTTGGCCTCAGCCTCCCAAATGCAAGGATTAAAGGCATTGCCACCACTGCCCTGCTGAGGGATTACATCACAGTTAGATGGCGTGCTGAGTGTGACTGTGGGTTTAGACTTGTTGTGTTTTCACTATAGTTTGATCTAGGATATGCTCTGCTTCAGTGTGCCATAGGGCTGAAACATGTTTGCATTCTTTTTCTTTTGTAGTGTTCTATTTCGTGGCTGATGGCTTTCTGGGCTGGTGTCTAGTTCTTCTATCTTTACTCATTTTTGTCTAGGATTTCTATAAATTGTTGAATATAAGTGTGGAAATCCCCATATGTTTATGTGCATTTGTCTGGTTTTTTGTTCAGTTCATACACAGAGTCATGTTACCCGGACATGCTTATAATGGTATGATAATGTGACACTCGTCTATCCCTGACAGCATTTCTTGATCTGCAGCAGTCAGTGCTACAGGACTTTCCTCTGTACAGTATTGATGGTATCACTGTTGCTGTTGTTTTTTAATGTTGCCACATCTTTTTCCATCTTTATATTTTCTGTTTCTTTACATCTGAAGTGACTCTCTTATAGAGAGCATATGGTCAGGTACAGTTAGTCCGTCCATGCTTTGCATGGTATGTTGGCACCATTTACATCTCATGACACTTGTTGGTCTGTCAGAGTGTACGCTCCCCCTCCCTTTTTCCCTTGGTGGATTCAGAAATAATCAGGCAAACACGAGTCAGATGGATCCCTAGCTCACCGTGTGAGTCTGTTAACACACTGCCCCCATTTAAAAGGGAAGACTAGTTAATGCTGCAGTACCTTCTAGAGTTCTCTTGTAGTCATACAAACGAGAATGACCATCATTGGCTTCAGAATTGCAGACATGATTCTACAGGTTATTACAGGTCATAGGTCTCGCCCAACCCTGGTTATAAGCTCTGCCTCACTAAAGAAGTTGAAAACCTTATCCTAATCAGTTACCAGCTTAATAGTGCCACATTATTTCACAGAATTCTTCCTGTGACAAAGACTTCCTATCAATTGGAATGTTTCCTTTTCAGTTATGTTTGTGTATAAAAGAAATTGACCAACTTGTAGGCTCTGCAGTCTATAGATTGTTATAAGTTAATAAGCCTTGCTTAGTCTTCCCCAGCTTCCATTTTACCAGAATAAATACCCAAAAAACTTACAACTTGTTTTAAAATGAATTTTCACTCAGGGGTAGCACTCCATGATGTTTCCTTCGGGTTCCTTATGTGTCCCAGTTACTACACCAAGACCCTGATTCTCCCTTAGACGCTGTGTAGTAAACGTTAGAATAAGCCTTGTATTCAGGTCTTCTAAAGAAAGGTACCGTTCATTTGAGTGACTACTTTCCAAGGAAGATACTGTTAGTTAAATTTGGGTAGTTGGGGATGTCTTCTTTGTGTAATCATGACTCAGATGTTGTTATTTTTGACAGACCAAGTCCCAGAAATTGGACACTAAATCCCACTCCTAGTCAAGAAATTATTCCAAAGGGAAGCTGCTGGGAAAAGAAAATCAGTTGTCTTTAATGAACGATACTTATGTCAGCCACAGGGCAGGGCAGGCTCCATGCTCCAGGCTCCATGCTCAAGGTAGTTAGCCAACACAAATTGGACTCCATGAGTTTTTAGTGGCCTTTTTGTTTGGTTTTTGTTTTGTTTTGTTTTGTTTTTAAAAAAAAAAGAACATGAACTTGGTAGGGTATCGATTTGGGAACAGCCTAGGAGGACTTGAGAGACAAGATTGAATATGATAGTGTACTGTAGAAACTCCCAGAGGGTTAATGCATGTGTGTGTGTGTGTGTGTGTGTGCGTGTGTGTGTATCTCCCTGGCAGTCATAATTCATTGGTACAAGGAAAAGTATTCACCTTGCAGATTTGATGCAGGTATAGTTTATGGTATCCACTAGATAGGACAAATGTTCAGTGCAGCCAACTGTAGGTAAATCTTCAGCTGTGGGCCTAGGGCTATTGGGGGGTGAATATAGAGAAAACTTAGTGACTATTCAAGGTGGAATACAAGAGAATAGACTTTTGCCATGTTGAAGTCAAGAATTCCAGCTTGCTAGACTAACAGATGATCTTGTTCTGTTGCTAATACAGAGAGATATTAATCAGTACAAGCTATGTTGTGTAGTGCTGCTTAAAGTTCATTTCAGTAACATTAAAGCTTGCCAAACAACTGTAAATACACATTTTGACTTGTCACGAGTTTGGCCTGAGTCTTTATATTCTTCTTTTTTAATTCCTGTAAGCTGTTCTATGGGAGTTTTTTCCAAAGGAGGAGAAATCTGAAATGTTCTGTTGCCAGTTTTCCACACATATTCAAAAGGAGACGTGCAAAGTTGCGCTCCCATGCTTAAGTGTTTAACTTGTGCCTTGTTAGTAATGCTTTTGACCCTAGAAAATAGATATGGATAGAGAACCTGAGTGTTGTAGTGGCTTTATGACGAGCTCTGACAGACTGTCCAAAAAAGCAGGAAGATACTGAGTCCTACTAAAGTTTCCATTATAATTCAGCATTATTGCCATTACATTGTGGGTATTGTTTTATTTGAGCTAGGCAATCTTGGTAATTTTGTACTCGTTTCTCTGAAAGCCTTTGATTGTCATGATATCTGTCTCTGAGAATAATTAAGGAAACAAATTGAGTCCAATATCTTGACTAGTAACCAAGCTTCCTAGTCTTCTTTTGTGTTTTGATATTCAATATAGCTTTGAATGGTAGATTTTACATCCAGAAACATCCTTTGAGTAAAAGTGTCCCTGTGGTTAATTCTTCAGTGTTTACCTTCAGGAGGAATAGGCAAGAAGTTGGGATTCAGGGGTGCTGCGTTGGTAATTTGGCTCAAACTGCTGGGGAGAGTAATCTCTCTCCTGAAATGAAACACAAGGATAAGTAATAGCTTTTTATGCATGATGAGCAACAGAGTATGAACCTGCTGGTCTGTGCTTTTCCTGTTTCTTTACCTCTGTCTTTCAATGAGTCCCTCCTGCAGTGTGCACACGATGTGATCAATAACTCAATAACTTCTCTCATGCAGTAATTATCTCCCTGTGATATTATCTGAACACTGTTTTCCTTTATTACCCAAAGATGCAGGAGATATTTATATGACCAGCTGATCCCATTTTAGATAAAGGTGCTTTGTGACAGCAGGAGAACGTTTACTTTAAACAGCCTTTCAAAATAAGAGCTGAATGAAAGCTCTGCCAGTTAATTGCCACTTACCACGAGAAGGAGATTACCAAAAGGAGGAAAAAAGTGCAAAACTTCTGTAAAGTTCTGCTTAGAACTTGTACTTTGCAGAATTACAATCTGATAAACCCAATTAAAATTAGAACATTGAATCATTTAGCATAATCATACTTTCCATTTCCTCTAAATCATGAGTTCTATGCCAATGTATAAAATAAATACACACTAGTTCTGTCACCTGACATGTCCCCAAATGTTCTCATTACAGGCGGAGATCCTGCAAGAGTCCCGCATGATGATCCCAGATTGCCAGCGCCGGTTAGAGGCTGCATATACTGATCTTCAGCAGATATTAGTAAGTAAGGGTTTCTCTGTCTACCTAATACATGGAAAACCAAACATTTCAATCTTTAATACTACAGCTACTCGGAGACATGTTGTATTTGTTTGTTCTGTGTCTTAGTTTCTTCTCCTATTGTATGATAAAATACTCTTGGCAGGAAAGCAGCTTAGGAAGGAAAGGTTGGATTTAGCTCAGAGTTCCAGGTTAGTGTATCATAGCAGGAAGTCACGTGACTTGAATACTGGTTATATACATCCGTAATGAGGAACAGATCCAGTCCGTGCATCTTTGCTTGTCTCCTCTGCTTAGGGAGTGGTCCAGCCCACAGCTAAGCTGGATCTTCCCACATCACATAACATAATCAGAGTAATCTCTGTTGACATTCTCAGAGACTAGCATTAATCTGTACAACCCTTCACTAGTATGTCTGGGGCTTGCCTCCTAGTTATCAAGTTGACAGTCAGTATTAACCATCATACTGGTGTACCAGCATGCTTTTAAATATTTGAAGAGTTTAACTTATATTTGAGTTATAACTCCACTAAAATTACTTTTCTACCATGTTTATTCTACTGATTTAATTAAACATTTGAGCCATAATAGCAGGTATTCATGATACCAGTTTTGAGCAGCAATATATTTGGTGTGTGTGTGTGTGTGTGTATTTTTTGACAAATAACAGTGAGCCAACTGTTTAAAATTTGATTCAATCCAATAATCCAGTGTTTCAGATTAATTTGGTCCTTGTTTAAAAGAGCTGGAATTTTAGATTCAAACCTGAATAAACTTGAGAGAAAGGGAAGCCGAAGATAATGGAGGCAGAGCTCTCAGAAAGCCACTGAGGTGGGTGGCACCATTCTCCTTACTGTTAAAGCATACAGTGCTTAGCTGACTTCATGAATGAATGGAAGTGTAAGTAAAAGCCATCTTGTTTCTTTGTAATAGTTAAACAGATGCACAGTGTGATTGTTCCACTGTCTGTTGCTAATAAAACACCCTGACAGAAGCAACTTAAGGGACAAAGAGCTTACTTGGTTTAAATTGCAGGTTACATTCATCACTGCAGGGAAGGCAGGCTGCGGGTAACATTACGTATTTAGTGAAGACCAGAAAGCTGTGAGCGCGTGTTCCCAGTGGATATACACTTTGTCAGCCTGACGACTAAAGCTAACCATCACAACCAGACTTTCTGTCTACTTGACACACAAACACATCACTGTAAGCGGTACCCTTCTCTACCCTTTGTCCCCAAAGTCACACGTTCATCTCCTAATGTAGAATACAGACCACCTTTAGAATTCCTTATTGTCTTTAAATTTTTCAATATTTTAAAAGTCTGGAATCTTGGAATCTGGGTTCCTGTAAAATCAAAAATAAGTTATATTTTTCAGCATAAAACAGTTCAGAATAAACGTTCCTATTTCAAAAAGGAAGAATTGGGCTTAACAAGAAATCCTGCAGTTCTTTGTCCTGCATCTGAGGTTTGTAATGAAGTTGGCCAAGATCCAACAGCATAGGCAACCCACACTCCTGAGCCCTGCTTCCTACGGCACAGAGCTTCTGTCAGTGTTCTCCACACCTGCCCCACTCCTCAGGGTACACCGTGGGCCTGGCTACTGGGGTTCCACTGTGGCCTTTTAGCACAGGGCCTGCCTCCATGTCACACAGTGCCCAGCCTCAGCTGCCCTCAGTGACCCCCTCACCCATACTCTCTCAAGACTTCAAAACAGGTAACACGTGACTAGAAGCCAAGTTCTGTTGACACCTCAGGATATAGCCTTTTTCCTTTGGACCACAGCAGTATCCACTTCTGTGGCTAACCTTGAAGACACATTTTCCTTTTCAGTTGCCTTCCAGGACCAAGGGATCCCTTAGGCTTTCTTGTGAGTGAATTGCATCTTCTAAGATGTAACCTCTAAGTGGTGTGCCTTCAGAACTGTTCATTCTCTCGTGCAGCACAGACTTCTCTTTCCCTCTGTAGACAGATCTGTCCATTGTCTTTATTTTCAACTTTCCTCAGGTTCTCAGAACAGTAGCAGAATGAGACCAGACTCAGCCAGAGTGTTATAGGAATGACCCCAGTCCAGTTCCTGAGAGCCCTTGTGCTGGCCTCCACGTGCTTGGCCTCCATCTACAAACACTTCCACATCTTCCCACAAAACAGCTGCAGTGGCTGAGCAGCCACCCGGTCGTTCAGTCAGTTGGGTTATCACAGTCAGTGCCCTACCTCCTGGGACTGTCATCTGCCACAGTTTTGTTTGTTACTGGGATAAAATACTGAATAAAAGCAACCAACTTAAGAGACAAAGAGCTAATTCGGCTTATACTTCCAGGTTACATCCTATGGAGGTCACAAGAACGTGAAGCAGCTAGTCAACATTATATTCTTATTCAAGAGCTTAGAGGGATGAGTTAGTCTTCCAGGCGATTCTAGATTCTATCAAGTCGGCAGTCAGTAGCAGCCGTCACACAGCTGGGGTGGGAATCAGAAGCAGGTAGGTCTCTGTGAGTTCAAGGACAACATAGAGAGTTTCTGTCTCAAAAATAAACCATCCCAACTATTCTGGTTTCATGTCTGTTTCTGTGATTAAAAACAAACAAACAAACAAACAACCCTAACAGAAAACTGTGAATCCCACTAGGTGAGCATAATACCACTACCATAATTTTTGAGCCAATTTGAAGCAAGTCGTATTAAATCCTGTCCGGAAGGATGGACACTGTCCAGGTCAATACCCAGAACTCTCAGAGAATGGCCGTGAACCACATTAGGTAAAGGTGGAGCCAACAAGGCCATGTACTACTGAAGTGATTTTTATGGGGGATTTCTGCCATAGTCTTTCTCGTTTAGCTCCCAAGTGAACAACACAGATACCAGAATTTATTAACAAGTTACAAACCTAAACTGGGCAGGTTCTGAGATTATTATAACCTGGCTAGGCTATTAATAACCATGAATGTCGCATTGCTTGCCAGCTGGTTCTTGGTGGTTCATGTATGTCCTTAATCTAAGCTCTCTTGGCCGTGGGTTCATGATCCATCCTGCCTTCTGGCCACCTCCTCTTCTTTCCACCTCTTCCCTTGTCGTGGTCCCTACCTGAGACCCCTACTCAATCGCAAATCCCCTTTCTGTGTCTCCTGCCCAGTCACGGCCTGTAGCCTTTTATTGTCCAGTCAGAGATTATTGGGGAGCATTCTTTACAGCATGTTGGTCAATACAATGCACAAGACCAACCCCAACAACAGTGAACTTTCTGCCTTCATCTAGTGAGAGGCAAGCATACATCCCGACATACTTCTGCCTACATGTGACCAACCACATCCTATGCAGTTGGGGCAGTCAACCTTGTTTACAGAAGTGAAACCATGTGCCTTGTTATCTTTATGAACCACAGCCCCCAGCATTCCAGGGAAGTTATCTGTCTTTGGACAAGTGGGGCTTTTAGGTGAGAAGCATTTTTGTTGAATAGATCTCTTCAGCACAGTGATTTAAAACTTAAAACATAACTTTAGCCTTTACACAGCAACTTCAGGAAGAAAGGGTTTAATTTTATTAATGTTTCCAAATTATGGTTTATTATAGGGAAGTCAAGTTACTGGAACTTGAAGCAACTGGTAATGTCACATCCAGTTAATAGTAAAGGGAAATAACTACAAACATGGTCACTAGCTTGTGCTCAGTTTCTCCACTCTCCTGTAACTTAGGACCCCTAACCTAGAGAATAGTGTTGCCCCCAGTGTGCTGGGTCTCACATCTCATATCCAGAAGAACAGAGGTCAGTGTGCTGTTAGGGATAAAAGGGGTGTCATACCATCATTGGAGCTGTGAGCCGCCTGATGTGGAGAATAAGAATTGACCTCTGCTCCTTTGGAAGAGCAACAAGTGCTTTCAGTCCACTCAGGCATCTCTCTAGGCCCATAGTGAGCTTCTTAAAGGTAGGATGCTGATTTTCATCAAAAAGAGAAACCAGTTTTTATTTTATTTTATTTTATTTTATTTTATTTTATTTTATTTTATTTTATTTTATTTTATTTTATTTTATTTATTAGAAAATAAAGTAAAAAAAGAGGCAGGCATATCTCTGAGTTCAAGGCCATCCTGCTCTACAGAGTGAGTTCTAGGACAGCCAGGGCTACACAGAGAAACTCTGCTTCAAAAAAACAAACCAAACAAAACGAAAAGAAAAAAGAATGAAAGAAAAGGAAGGAAGGAAGGAACCTCAGTTAAAATGCTGCATAGAAACACTGTTTATATGTCTTAGCAATTTCAGTGCTTTTTTTCTCCTTAGGAATCTAATAGCTGATAAGATAAAATAATAAAAATTGTTTAAAAATGATATGTTTGGATAGTTGTACTTGAGGTTAAATTAAACTATTACTTCTTCTCAGTAAACTTACATTTACTGAAAGAAACATGTTTAAGGTACATTTTTCAGGGTTAAGAAATTACTGCCAGTCATCTAAATTCAGTGTTTTGAATTACTGTTTATGTTGAATATAGACATTATTTCTTTTTATCTCTGTCATAACTGTCTGCAACTTTTGTTGTCTGTAACTTCCTTTAAAACTCAAGGGCTGGACTGATGGACCCAGGTTCAATCCCAGCACCGTATGGTAGCTCACAGCAAACGATAACTTCAGTTCCTCGGATCAAACACACCTCGCCTCCTCTGGCCTCCATGGGCAGCAGGCATGCATGTGACACACAGATACTTTCAGGAAAAATACCCATACACATAAAAATAAAAATAATTTAAAAAAAATAAAGGACTCCCTTCTGTGAAAATATAGGCATTCTCTAATTAGTCTGTTGCTGTTATATTTTTAGTGAGAGTTTCCTATATATTAGTGTGTACAAAAACTCAATTTTAAATATCAGAAAATTAAGGGGGGCTGGAGAGATGGCTGAGCAGTTAAGAGCATAGACTGCTCTTCCAGAGATCCTGAGTTCAATTTCCAGTAACCACATGGTGGCTCACAACCATCTGTAATGGGATCCATGCCCTCTTCTGGTGTGTCTGAAGAGAGCAACAGTGTACTCACATACATTAAATAAATTAATAAAAAACTCTAAAATTAAAGCTGTTAACCTTTTGTTTGGTGTCAGTATGATGCTCTCATAAATAAGCAGACAGCCCACTTGTCTAATTTGATTGTGTTTAACTTGGGCGACATCAGTGAAAGCCTTTAACATTGGGAATAATTGGAGTATTATTTTATGATGGATGATTGGCAAATCCTTGTTTTTTACTTTTAATACATTGCAAATAATCTTTTTTGTATGATGATGGACAAATAAGAATGATTTTTTAAATTTGTGATTTTTATTTAATTATTTAACACATAATTGTAGACAACTCTGTTCTTAATTATAGCATGAAAATATAATAAAAAATAAGCTAACCTTTCATTTCTTCCTTTCCCAGGAACAAAGGGACAGAACTGTTATACTTAGAAATCCTAGAATCCTTTTCTCTAATTCTCCAGTTACTTACTGGTCTGTAGTATAAGCAGCAGAGCATTGAGATTTCTAAAGGACAAACTTAATGTTGCTATTTTTCATTTCAGGAAAGTGAAAAGGACTTGGAAGAAGCCGAGGAGTATAAAGAAGCCCGCATAGTGCTGGACTCCGTGAAGCTGGAAGCCTGACGTTTTTCTCTATGGGGTGTTTTTATGCATTAAATCCCAGGGTCCATTCTACAATTCGTTATTTTCGGCCACTGCTGTGTTTAATAATATAAAAACATGGTTCTTTTTGTGCAGTTGCATATATTTATCTTTGCATAACTTAATGTGTCAAATAAATGAGTTCATCTAATAAAATTGTTGTTTTATACTTTACCAAATTTCCAGTTGACCACTTAGTTAAATGTCATTAAATCGGGTGGTTTTGAAGTTTATCTGAAGTGTAAATACTTCATAGTCCTAGGTTGGGTTTAAAACTAAAGCCAGTCAACCAGCTGGGAGCACCAAGGGGAGGCTCTGCCTGTGCAGATGTGGGAAGCCTGTCCCCGCTGGGCAAAGACTCCCCCACCCCCAACCCATGTTCTGTGAGTGAGCCCAATGCACTCCTTGGCTCCCCAGATTGGACTTTTATGGGAGCATGCTTCGGTTGTTGTTGGGCCCTTAGGATGAGGGCAGACTTTGTCCCCCGGGAAGGAATGTTAGCAACGTGATGGAACACCCAGACGTGGACTCATTGTCTTTCCTTCCTGTCCCTTTTTGGTTTTGTCCTCGTGATGGAGCTAGGGCCTCAGTGTGGCAGGTTTTGTCCTGGTGATGGAGCTAGGACCTCAGTGCGGCAGGCAGATGTGCTCCTACCCAGCTGCGTCTCCAGCTGGATTTTCGTTAATTTTTTTACTTTTTCTTCTGAGATAGGGTCTTGTTCTGTTGGTCGGGTTGCCATGAGCTCACAATGTAATACGCAGAGGCCTCGAACTTAAAATATCTACCTGCCTCAGGACCCTAAGTAGCCAGGGTTACAGACCATCAGTGCCAGATACAGCCAGACTGCCTTGATGGACTGGAAATGGTATTTTGTCATAAAGTATTTTTCCTGCAGGATTATAAACTTATTAACAAATCATTTGTAGGTTTTCCTCCCTCAAATACACAATTCATTTAGTTTTTTACATGCCTGGAACATGTGTGTAAACTTTATGGCCCAAGCTGTACATGAAACAGGGCTGGAAAGAGCTTTCAACAGTGTGGGTTGCTCTGGTTTTCAACACTGGATGATCGCTCGAAACTCAGGACTGGAGAAGAGAAAATACTGTCCTTTCCTGGCATTTCTGAGGCCCTTTTCCTGCCAGAGTACAGAGTGCACCCTCCTGCTGCCTCAGCCTCTTACTTGTAATTGGCTGTGGGGAGATCATCCCTAGTAAGCCCCGTTTTCCCCAGTGATCCCAACAGGAGCTTCTGGTTGAGCCTCTGATCATTTACATTCTGAATAAGTGTTTATTTCCCAATAACTAGATTGTCCTTCCTTTAACCTGTATTATATCATGTCAACAGTTCCTTAGGAAGAAATAGAACTGCGGGAGAGAAAAGCACACTTAAAGTAAGCACATTCTTATTATATAAGTAATAAAAACTAGTTAATAGAATGTTCATTTAACATTACTCAACTTTCTGGATGGTACCATTCAGAGCCTAACATTTTACAATTGCCTATACCTATGCGCTGAATCTTCCAAATTGAGCAGTCAAACCTGTTTAATCTAGATCACTTTGCAAACTTTATCACATTAGTTGGCTTTAAAAAAATCCCATCAGAGTTAATAAGGACATATCCTATAGCTGGTTATCATTTAAACCTTATTATTTGGTCATTTAGATAAACCGTGGAGAGATTAATCCTTTCCTTGATGGCGAATCGGGGGCCTTTAAATGTCGGTGGGAATTTGACTCATGCGAGAAAGTGTGAGTTGTGAAGCCGTGGGCATGAAAGGGTTAATCAGATGATTTAGTCCTTGAAGCCCTGTTGAGTATGTTAGCTGGAAAGAAATTGAATGGTTCAGAAATAGTGTACTGTCAAACAAATTAGAAGTATTAGTGCACTTGAAGTTCAAGAGTGCTTCTTAACGGCCACATCGCACTTACGGCTCTTCTGCTCTTCTGAGAAGTACCTGTCATACTCAGCCAGGTGGGATTACCTTACGGTAGACCTGCACCATCCTCCTATGTTGTGCCTTCTGATGGGCAGTTAATATGATGCTTTCATATTTCTCAAGGGAAATATTTTCATTTCATCACAAGATATAAATATTTTTATTGCAGTTTTTTCAAATTAATACAGAAAATTTTTTCAGTAGAAAAAAAAAGACAATAAAAACACATGCCTTACAGAGGAAGAAATGCAAATGGATAGTCATGTTTCTTCTGTTCTACTCCAGTAGTAATTAGGCTCAAATTAGTAATGAATACCGAGTTGTTGTCCTGGTGCACTTAAGTATCAGCTGATGAGACTAGCTAAGGAAAGAAAGAAAGAAATACAGGAGACCTTGCATCGTTCTTTCTAAGCACATGATGAGTGCCCGGGAAGCCCAATGGCTGCTGTACTGTGGGAACTTCAATTAACCAGGCACTTTCAAAATTACACAATGGTGAAGGCTTGCATTATGTCACCCAGGAAAACGTGCTCAAGACCTAACCTCCAGACCCTGAGAATGGAGCTGTATTTGTAAATGGGATTCTTGTAGAAAAAGAGGAAACCATTGAGTGACCCAATATGACTGACATCCTAGTAAAATGGGAAGACAGGACAAGGCCAGATGATGGCTCCCCATGAGCTGTGATGTGATCCTGGTGACGGAGACATAAAGAGACAGGCATGGAATAGTCTCCTATGGGGTCCGCAGATAACGGTACAGAAGCCACAGAGATGGGAAATAGTCTCACCCTCACACCCAGGCTGTAGTCCTTCCAGCCGTTCAAGAACCAAAACGCTCTCAATGTGTGGCACCAGTAACTGAATAGAAAAGAACTGAGCCCCAGAGAATCAGATAGGACACTTTAAAAATAACTTGTACTATATACTGAGAAAAAAGAATTCTGTGAAAAAGGTGTTATTTGTCCTTATGTCAGTCTGAACAATGAATAATACACAACAGGGTTTGGAGCATGGAAGAGATTGAGGGAATGACCGGGTTTTTGTCTTTAAAACAGGAAGCCATAGCTGGCTGGGAGAGATTATGAAAAAGAAGGAGCTCTGCCTACTGTTGGAACTCACTAAGGAAAACCTAAGTGTGGGTCACTTGCCCAGTGAGGGCAAGGCCCTGGGCTTGATCCCTAAAGCGTCTGCACAAGTGTACGCATGCGTGCTTCCTAAAAGGAGAAAATGGTGTCAGAGCAAATTATCTATGATATATACGGAAATATATACAAATCTACATCTAATTAATTCAGCTATTTCAGATCCCCGAAGGAAAAGTATTATTCAATGACTGGCTAGCAATCTGGAAAACAAAATGCCAAACATCTTTACCTGTGACATCAAAATACACTTCAGTTGGTCAGTGATTTCAGTATAGAAAAGAAAGTAAAACGCTAAAAGAAAACACTGATAAAGAGGTTTCAGTTGGCACAGTAAGAAGGAATTTAATGCAGTTAGGAGAGTATTTTGAACATTCTCCACAAAATAATGTATAGATACAACCCAGCCTGCATCAAAACTAAAGATAAGGAAAAGAAGCAGGAAAATCTTAAAGTGGAGTGTGGGCGGGAGGGCCTGGAGAAACACAGGAAGCTGCAGTGGATGGTCAAGTTTCTAATGGTTGGAAACGTGAGATTATACCAGTACTAAGGTGGAACAGATGACAGTCGCTAAGCCACATCCGATCCATACCAACACTTGCTGATAGAACTGGCCTTTCAAGTTGGAGCTAAAAGAATGGCTAGCTCCACTGCAGTAAAATGGAACTGGCAAGGTAGTTATATACTGAGAGCTAGGGGTATAGCATTAAATACTAGAGCACTTGCCTTCCCTGTGTGAGGCCTGGGTTCAATCCCATCCCAGTGCCAAAAAAAAAAAAAAAAAAAAAAAAAAAAAGATTTCCAGGGCTGGAGAGATGGCTCAGCAGTTAAGACTGACTGCTCTTCCAGAGGTCCTGAGTTCAATTCCCAGCAACCACATGGTGGCTCACAACCATCTGTAATGGAATCTGATGCCCTCTTCTGGTGTCTGAAGATAGCGACTGTACTTACATAAAATAAATAAATCTTTTTTAAAAAAAGTGTGTATATATATATGTGTATATGTATTTCCATCTTATCCTACACAACAAAGTAAACTGAAGTGGATAAAGGGCTGGAGAGATGGCTCAGTGTTTGAGGGTACTGGCTGCTCTTGAGAATCAGGGGTCTGTTCCTAGCACATGAATGGCAGCTCACAACTGTGTTCTGGGGGATCTCTTCTGGCCATCTTCAGGTACACACACACGGCATGGTACACGTGTCTATGCATGCTAAACACATAAACACATTTTAAAAAGCAAATTAAAGAAATGTGTGCAGTAAATCTTGCTCTCCTGCTGGAATGCTTTTGAGCAAGACAAAGGTATCAGCAGCTTGTGTTGTGCGTAGAATTTGAACAAGATGCTGCGATTAAAACTTCTGTGATGTCCGAGCTGAGATTACGATCTTAATAGACAAGTGTTAGTGCTACCTCTGGGAACTGTGAAAAGAAAGAAACCTCAGAGTTCTTCCCACATGTTTGCTGACTCAAAAGCTGCAAATCTACTTTCAGTCTCCAGTGAGTGCCTCATCACACGTACGCATGCTCCATTCGCACTTCGTGGCCCTTCCCCCTGACTCCACACACAACTTAGGGGTGTTGTTGGGTTCCTGAGGTTTTAGTCTGCAGGGCTAATCCGTGGAGGGTTAATTACATACAAGCAAAAGCAAGTGGTACATGCTGCTTCACATATCTGAGCCACAATCAAAGTCAATCGAGAAGAGCAATGACTGGGAGTGGCTTCATGGTAGCCTCCTGCCGAGCATGCTGGTGGACCTCAGCACCACAAAAAAACGCCATCTCTGGGTCTACAGCAGCTTACTCACTTCTGGAGCAGCATCTCCAGCTCAAACCTTGGGTTATCAGCCATATTTCAGCAAATTATTTAATTTCAAAAATAAAACCAACCAACGAACAAAAGCAAAAGGTAAAAGCCACCAGCTGATGGATGAAGGTGACTCCAGCCGGTGGATGCTTCCATGGATGACGTTGAGAGAAAACAGCTGCTGCTCCTACAACAAGAGCCAGCCAGACCTGATGGGCCATGATCTACACAGAGAAGGGAAATGGAGACTGCTGCTTAGATGGGGTTTTGGCAGAATTATGG